CATGGCGGCAGCCACCACCTCACAGTGGTGGCGGCGGGGCCTTTCTTCGGATCTCCGGCTAAGAAACATTCATGTAGCCTCAAACCATCACAACACATGGGCATAAACACCACCACACGCCCGCAGCCACCTTTCACGGTGGTTAGTGGTGGCAGAAGAGTTTTCCTAGCGACAGCCACCATGGTTGGCTGCCATGGTGGTCTTCTAGCGTTTTCCAGCCAACCTTTCACCCACACACTCCCACGGTGACGATTGAAACACGCACAAACATCACATCATTGGCTGAAATACGAAAACACACATGAAACACACATCACCGCCACTCATATGGTGGTTTGCGGCGACCGGAAAGGATATCATCAAAAGGTGATAGCCATCGGGGCGGAGATGGCGACAGACATGAGAGAAATGGTAGAAGAACAAGGGAGAGAAGGGTTGTCATTACCGGAGAAGACAGAGGTACGGCAGCCCCGACGTCGGCCTTGACTCACGTATTCGCCGGCAACAAACAGCATCAACGGACGTCCGACGTTATTCTGGTCGTTGGCAGCCTACACTTTGTTGTTCACAGCTCAAACTCCAGTCTCGGTGGCCCTCCAAGCCACTCACGGTGTCACCGGAAGCAGGCGACGACTTAATCGGATCGGAAAAACGATAAGAAGGAAGGCGGCGGCTGGGGAGTCACAAGGTGGTGGCGGCTAAAGAAAACATTAGGGTTAGGGTTTACCGGTGGTATTAGGCTTATATACCCGGATCCTTTAAGATCTATCCCATAATCACAGAAATGGTCCCTCCTTCCATTATTCTTTCCAAATAAAGTCCGAAATTTACCTTTTTAACCAAGCCTCCTGAAATCCTTTACAAATTAAGTCTAATACTTACCAAATAGCCCCTTAGCCTCCAAAATCTTTTCAAAATAAATCCTAAAACTACTTTTTAACCCCCGAATAATTCGTTTTATAACATTTGACTCCCCAAAACCAACACCCCACTAAATAATATGGATTTAGGGCGACTATTCGTTCATCAATTTTATCTATTATTTATTTAATAAACAAGATGTTACACTTTCATTGACCACGAGTTCGACCATCGCGTCGCATATATATAAAGTCATGTTATGTCTTTCCAAAAATGGCAATCTACTTTATAACTTGTGTTAATCTCCTCCTACTTCATAACTAATCACCAATACACCTCCTATAAAAAAACTTAAAGCAAACTCCATGTTTTATTTCTCCTATCTGTTTCATAAAGAACTTATACTCATTGGAATAATACCTGTTACGGAAAACGGATATTACACTAACTCACTATTTTCTCTCTATATACATTCATTTTTTTCTAAAAAATTATCCAATTCAGAGGTCTCATTATCAAACTCTGTGGCCAACAAATGATGAGCCAATGTAACACACTAACTCACTA